TGAAGATGAAAACCTTGAAAATAGAAGTTTTCAAGAAATTTTAACAAAAAGAGTAATGTATAAAATAAAATAGTTGGATTTTAAGCTTTGTTAGAACTTTGTAAAGTGATCTGTAGTAGTAACTTGTAGACAATAAAATTAATAGTCAAAAAAATCTTTACCTGAATTACTAATGGAACGATAAATCACTTTTGAAGTTATACTTAAAGTTTTGATAATTCTTAAAATAAAGATAAGTAAGTTAGATAGAGACTTAGTTTTAGCAATATATTTTTTAATATAAAGTATACATATATTTAATAAAATATATATATTTAGCTTAATAAAGGTATTAAAAAAAAAAAGTAAAAATATACTTATATTTTCAATTGATTAATAAACTATAATCTAGTTTGGCTGTGGATATTACAAAAAAAAAACTAAAATAAATAATATAAATATTTAAAAATTTAAAACCAATATTAATGAACAAATTTGGTATATAATATAATATATTAAAATTAATTGTTATAATTATTTTATTTTTAAAATATATTTTATATATATTTTAGAAGTACCCATTCTACTCTATTAAATTAAAATAAATATTTCAAGATAGTTTAACTACTAGGTAATAATAATAATAATAATAATAATAATAATAAAATTAAAGATAAGAAATATGCACAGGTCAATTATAATAATGATATAATAAATTAATAATTTTCTTTTTATAAATAAGATTTCTTATTTTATTATACCATTATAAAAAATCAATCTACTGTATATAGTAGTGAAAAAAAATTCTGAATCAACATAAACAACTTCACAGGTATATATATTGATTAAATAATTAAGATCAATAGATCTTGTTCCTCATCCCAAGTAAATATTTTACTTTCTTTGAATTGTTTATATACAGTATTTACGGAAGTTAGTCTATTAGTCGAAACATTATATTTGACCATAAAACCAGTACTATTAATAAAACTTGAAAATAACTTTTCATAAAATTGTTTTTTTTATGTCATCTAAAAGAAGCGAATTCTGAAGGGATCCAAGTTACCTCAGTGAGTTAATTGTCTTTCTGACTTCGGGCATTGTTCACGTGATCAAATTAGCTACCTTTCTTGATCGATCGGACTTTCTATTTTAATCTTCGAATTTAAATCATGATCATTACCTTTTTTGAATTTGTTTTGTCGATTAATAATACATTATTATCCAGGGTCAACTTCTACTAATACCTAATTAAGATGGAAAACATAAAAATAAGAAATTTGATATATTTACATGCATTTCTACTACATAATATACAGTATATGTATTATTTCATTAAAGCTTATTAAGAGAAAAGACAAGAAGAGCATGACTTTCAAAGAACAGACTAAACATACCAAATGTTGATTACCATCATACATAAACCGGATCCAAGTTAGAAACATCACAAATTCCGATAAATTCTGATGGGAACTCTAACATCGATGAGGATCAATTCGGTTGAGACTCGGCATTTTAGTTCAAAGCCATTTCTTTCCTTGGATGAATCTGTTTTCCAATATTTGGTGACTTTCATATCTCATTAGTCCATCCATCAACCTTAACGAAAGAGTCAACTTCTTCATCTCGGGGAGCTTCTAAATGGCTTTTCGATCATGTTTCTATGAAAAGTTGATGTTCTTACTTTTGTTTCATCATGCTCCAAGAAGGTCAAAGTCTTCCACCTTTGCTTCTCTTGACTTTCCGAGTAGTCTTATAACTAACCTTTTACCTCGGGTAGTTGGTAGAACATCAACCATTCATATTTTCCATATATCATTTCCTTTATTTGGTTACCGCACACTATGGTATGCCATTCTCCGCAGTAATAGTTGACAATTCATCCAAGCAGTTCTTGATCATCCCCATAATTGTTGGGTAGTCGAAATGGTATAAACAGATGTATTATATTTCCTGGCGCCATCATCAAACAATTCTTGATTTTCCTGGGGAAGTGTAACGATAAGAGAATTAACTGGTGAAGACAATCAAATAAATAGTGTAACAATATAATCGGTATTAGAAATTTGTACGTGCAAATTACGGATTCCCTGCCGCTGTTGCTTCGTCTAAGTTCCAAATATTCCCGAGTTTGAAAAATTTGAAAGCAAAAAATTCATAACAAGAAACAACTTACATTCCTTACTAATTGCTCCTCGACCTCACCTTTAAAACTATCCAGGAAATTTCAATGCACGCTTACGCTATGCAACTGAAAATTCTCTCTAATAATATCTTGTCAGGCCTTCTCATTATTCTCTCGTGTCATTTTTTCGATATCCCTTCGGAATTACAATTGAGACACGGTGTTCAGTTGAATTACGATGTTAGAGAGGAAAATCACATAAATATTATACAAATATTCAGTTAATGTGACGTCTTACCAGAGGCACTTTTTCGACCTAAAACGGAGTGTTTCTCAAATTGCCAGATTTTAATAATGACCCTCGTAGTTGGCACGTTCTTCTGGACAAAGCCTAAAAAAAAATCTCACAACAAAGAAAAAGTATCATATATAATATACTTATCGAATCTTACTTCGTCATGTGATCTGTAGAACGCAATTTCGACAGGGCATCTTTTTGAATATATATTGATATACGCATAAAAATCCCATACTTTTAAGCATTCTTTTGTGTTCTAGGAATACTCTTAATGGAAGACTTAATATTATATCATAGAAAGATGATTTAGGCATAGTTGGAAAAACTTACATTGTAATGTAAACCTTTTGTTTACAATTAAAGCGCACGGAACTACTATTATCGCAACCAATGATCCGTATAATATAATATTTTTCTCTTCGGATTTACTTGACTTCCAGAAGTATGGCGGGGTTTGTGAGCAGTTCTACTAATATCCAAACAAAAATCAGCGGTCCCAATTTTTCATTATTGATCGTAAAATCTCTTATGGTATGATTTTCGCTTATTTTCACACCATCGGTTGCCTTTTTTCTCCCTGCTTGAAGAATCGCCTTCTGAAAATGTTTTGAAGGTCCAATTATAGAAAATTGAAAGAATATGTCACTCACAAGAATCAGTTTGATAAGGTCTTGAGAAACATTTTGTCACGTATGATCTAGAAAACCGCAAAAAAAAAAATTGTGAATAAATAAAGAATTATGAATAAAATGTGAACAAAGATCACCAGTTAAATGTTTGATGCCCCAATCAACCACAGTATACGATGATCATTCATGACTATATTGGTATGAGTGCAAACGTAAAGAATGCCGAGTTCACCGCATTTGCAGCTTTAATAATAGAAAAATAGTTAATAAGAATTTGTGTTGGAGGATTATATAATAAATATAGATAACCGTTTCTCACCATACTCACTTCTGACTTTCACCACTCGATTCGGTGCATTCTCAAATAAAATGTTTTCTTTTCAAATTTACGACTGATTCGTTACTGTTTGCAAAAAGGATTTGTGCATCGTTAACTCCTGATTTCTCTGGTCCTTGATTTTTTTTTTTTGTTTAGTCTGCCGTTTTGCAGTGAATTTTTTGCAGTTATATTATTCCTATTCCAAGAATATTCAACGGAAAATCTGTTACAATTACCCCACAATTGCCCCACGATTACCCCACAATTACCCCAGTTATTAGTGGATCTGGAGCGGGACTTTTTTTTTATCATCAACTGGATTCGTATTCCAGGTGTCTCGTAAAATTTCGAGTATCTCGTGAATCAAGAGGATATCCGAATCCCAATATTTTGACCTTATTCCGACACTCCATAAATCGACATTGCGTATTATATGGCCGTTATTAATGTCGCATGGGTTATTATCGAATGTGATATTCTATTTTTACACAAATCCATCAAATTCGAGATCAAAAGACGGTGAATTATTTGGATCCGATTCCTTTAACATTTTCTGATTAATAGGCAGCTGATGGAGTATCTGATATTGGCTGGGGCATCCGATAGTAATGCGAAAAGTGATCTGATATTTCCTTATGGCGTGGATATTACCGTGTTGATTCCCCGTTCAGGACGTTGGATGGTACTGTATGTACTTGATATTTTTCTATCCTGATCCCCGTAATTTATCTTTTAGGCAAAAAACTTCTCGCGCTGGCTTCTCAAGTATCTGAATTTGTTGGGGGTTTCCGTCTTTATTAGACAAAGACCGCCCAACTTGTGATCGAATACTTTGATAGAAGGGGCTCATATTCTTCCGGGTTGGAACGTTCAGGCTCAGGTAACACAAATTGGTGATCAACTGTCAACAAACGCATAATGTAAACATCATGTAATTGGTTTTTTTTTTTTTTTTTTTTTTAATAAGGCGCAAGTGTCATTTTATTGTTGAAAAAATCAACGTCTAATCATATAAGATATTGGTTCGGGTAGTATTTTACCAAAATTTTGGCCACCTTTTACGCGACGACTGACCGTAATAAGAAATATGATTCGATGCAATATAAAAATTAAATATTAAAAAATATTAAAATATTTGATTATTGCATTAACTAACGTATATAATTTATTTATTTAAAAGGGTATATATAATTTTATTTGTTTAGATATATATTTTTAATAATTTAAATATTAATAATCAAAACCGTATAATAAAAATAATGGCGGAGAGTAAAGAAGGTAATAATATTTATAATAATATTTATATATGTTTTAATTTAATATTAGAAACGAAAAAGATTTTAAAACTGAAGAAAAAAATTTTAATTAGTAATTGAAAATCTTAAATCTTTACTAAATTATAAAAAATTTTTTTGATATACCGTAAAAAACATAAAGAGTAATGCAATTTCGTTTCATAAGCACAAATATACAGTATACTGTAGTACGCAGTGCATTGATACTATACTATAGCATATCTTTCGTAAAGATTTATTTATTATATACTTTATTATGTTAAACGACTTGATATTTAAATAATATACAACAAGTAACATTGATTCTTTGAATTGGCTAATATTAATTAAATAACTTATAATTTCAATTGATTTATTATGAGGATTCCTTACATGTCGCCCCTCTTATTTTAACTGCCTTCACAAATTCTTCGCAATCGGGAATCGAGAATGGCTTTTCTTCACCAGCAAACTTGCCTGTGGTGTAAAAGAGTTTCGGTTGATACTCTGATCTTTCACGGAATAAGCTGTCGTGTTTATAAAGAAAGCGAACGTTAAGTTGGCATCGAGGCCGTGTGTTTAATGCGTCATGGATCCGGTTACGTACTCTGATCTTTCAAATTTCTTGATAAGTTGATCAAGTCCTTGGACCCTTGCATAAGATAATTCGCAAATCTTGTCAGAGTTAAACTTGGGCCTACCAGATGAGAAGTTTTTCATAAAGTTAGATTATCAACTGATCAATATCGCGAGATGAATCCATTGTCTACTTACCACTTCTTCCCGACGCGAGTTTCGGCGAAAGAGATAACGGATCTGGATTTTCCGTGATATTAAATAATATAAAATATTTAGGAAGGGCCGCATTCGATTACACGTGCATTATTAAAGGGAATTGTATAATTACGCTATATCTACAAAGTTAATAAATGCATATCCAACATTGCATTTATTCTGAAAATCAATACGCAAATAAGCAAAATCGTATTTTCCCTTGTGAGTCTTATTGAGCCAGTCCAAGAACATTTCCTAGGAAACAGAGTGACAGTGTGTTCATTCACATGAATTGAATTATAATCAATTACCAAGTGATTTTAGCATTTACCTGTGTGTACTTGTTAGGAATATTTCGGATCATGAATGTGGTACGCTCGTCGAGACCTTTCTTAACTTTCTCCAGATCAAAAACATTTCCCTCTGGAATCGCCCTGTTACCGGAAGAGCGGACAGTACTAGTGACCGGAGGAGGATATTTTCTTTGGTGACTTACATAATCTTCGGCAATTTGACCTTTAAGACTATGATGAATTTCCACTCTCGAATCTACTAAATACCTAAAATCAGGCTCAGAAGATCGACTGTCAACGACAGGGACTCGACGCGGCGCAGGAGGGATTCTTATTTGCGATTCATTGAGACGCCTAAAATCGTCGGCAACTGCATCCCATGTTTGAGATTCATAATCGTAATATTCGATCCGAACCGTAGTAGTCTTACGGATCCCTCTGTCAAACACATGCTATAAAGATAATAAAACAGTCAAAAATTAAATACTGTATAATTAATGAAACGTAAGAATTTTATTTTAATGGTGGATACCTCGAAAACTTGCCCGTTCAAAGTTTCTCTCGCGGTACGGGCAGCGCGTGTATCGTCATACTCGATATACATGTAGCATTCGTCTACGGTGTGGGCACTGGTAGACGATTTAATTTCACCCATTTCTTCGAAACGTTTCTGAACGCAAAATCAGTCGGATGAGTAAAATTGATCGATCAGTTTCACAAAAAGGAATGTGCTTACATATATTTCTTCGCAATGTTGAATTGAACCTTTCCATGTGATTCTAATGTAACCGTCATTTATCAATTCATCCAGTGCTTTAATGGATGGATACCTCTATTGCACAAAGGAGTTTAGAGACAAGCATCTGAATCGATTAACTTCTGACATTAAATGATTAAATCCAGTTTACGTGAATGGCACAGGTTCGGGACGAGTATCGAACTTCCATCCTGCGTCGATTATGGGGTGCCTCTTGTTTACGAAGGTAACCTTGGGCTCTCGTGGCATCCCCAAGACTGTAATATATGACATAGGCAAATCCGTTGCCAGCTAGAATCTCGTGGACATCACCATAGAGCTTTTCGTGGATAAAGGAACTTTATGAATATATGAGATTAAACATGGGAAGATATCACTTCATGAAACATTACCTCGAACATCGTTTTCATGAGACGCCAATGTGCCGGATTAGTTGGAAAGTTTGTAATGTATAACCAACGAGTGACCTGACCCCACTCACGGATGTTTCCTACAGGTTCAAATGATGGTGACTTGAATTTTCCATTTGAAAAATTGTTCGGCGAACAATTAATGGATTGCCAAGAAGACAGCAATGGCGAAGTGGATGGATTGCAGGGTTGATGCTTGATAGCTTGAGCAGGATGAATGAAAATATTTTGACTGGCATTGGCCTCTTTAACTGAGGGGGCTTTCTCGAGAGGGTTGACGAAGAGCCCCTCAAATTGTTGTCCTACCAGTTCTTGGTAAGCACAGGATTGTGGATAAGATAAAGAGGTGTCATTTTTATTAACCCTAACTTGTCGGGATGGTTCGCCTGGAGACATAGTCGGTAAGTTTTGTGCATAACGTGGTACATTTTGAATCAAATATCATCAGATATGTACCATTAATAACAACTCTTTGATCGTAAATATCCTGAAGAACTCGAGAACAGCTCTCTGCGTTAAAATTACCACCTTTGAACGGATGAGGGATTTCGAGGTAAGCAACATTTGAAGCTAATTTGCGTGGGTAGCAGTGACCATCACGTAAGTATCGCGTGACGCATGATTATTATAATTATTGTTAACATACCATTTGTTCCCTGTTGACATTCAAGTGCACGTTCGTCATAAGCATCATATTGGCAAGAAGGTTGAAGAAAGCCTCTTGCGAGGTTAGAAGAGCCTTCAAAGAAATGAGAAATCTCGTGATAAGTCGCACGTCCTTAACCAAAATTTTCTTGAGAGCATCCGATATATAAAATGTATACCATTTAATTGACTTGTCTTCTCCTTTCCGCTACAAATGACGGGTTGATCTTGAGATAAGGAAATATTAACGAGAGCGTCAACCCGGTGAGATGATTCACCTAATACTGATTAACATACGATGTGATCAACATATGTGCGCTACCAATCTGACAAATATTAAGGATACAGTATGTACCGTTATCTCGGAGTTGACGCGTTTTTCCCGATAGCCCAAAGAGCCGAGAAGAGGTTTCTGTGCTGATATTGAGACCCCGTGGCTTAAAGTCACGAGGAGATCGGATTTGGAGGGGACGCGAGGAATAAGATTCGGGAGGAATCACGAACACAGAGGGGAACCCATGTTGCTACCAAATAAGAAACCATTACGCTATTAAAGGCGATCGCCCAACAATGATATTTTCATCACGTGACAACATCAATGATATTTGTTTCTTTGCACCAAATATTCAAGAGCAGCGGGTGTTGTGTATATATGCGACGTGGACATGCTCGGCATATTGTCTCTTATCTAAAGAAGAAATAGAATTTCTACCTTTTGGCGAACCGAGAAATCCAGCGTAAAATCTTCGACGGGAGCGATAGATTGCTTCATGATCTAATAAGAAATGGATAAATTCTTAACATATTTTTTCTTTAAAATTTCGGCAGGCAAAAAAATTACGTGCGCAGCGGTAATATTTCACTTAAAATGAGAACTATTATACTGTTGTTGACATTTTATACCTTGGTTCACGGCGGAGACTTCAATAAAATCCTGAGGGCAAAAATTAAGAGGCAAAAATTCGTTCCCCAAGTAAGATAACAAATTTGGGAGTGCAAAAGAAGCCAACGACCCTTTCGTCAAAGACAATGCTGTAATTTTGGGTCAGTTAAAGTATAGGAAAGTGGCAATAAAGGACGTGAGAATGGTAAATCATATCGAAGAAAAGAGGAGAACGCGAGTTTATATATTGTTTTTTGTATAACATCGTAGATCGGCTAGGGAAAGTTTATTACAGTATACAGTATAAACTATTTTTGCAGTATACAATTAATTACAAAGAAGTTTAAATAAACTTTCCATATTGGTTTTAAGTTCAACTGACCAACGGATCGTGTTTTAAACAAGAAGTATTAATCACCAACCGACCAATCAATCTGTTGCGAAGTTGCGAAGTATGTCGTTTAAACTATCATCATTCATTGATAAATGGTTTTACGAAATATAAACAGGTTTTTTTCCTTAATACGCGTACGTTGATATAAATTTAAACGACATTAATTTTTGTGGAGACGTGTATACATACTCAAATTATAAAAAAAAAAAAAAAAAAAAAAAAACTTTTTTTTCTCAAGATAAGATTGATGATTATTCTGATTTGAACAATTAAACAATCAAAAATTGATCAATCGAGACCTCCCGCTATCTTTGACAGACTTTTTGCCCATGAGAATAAGCAAACAAAGACGCTGCACAGTCATATTGTGCCTTTCTGTTGCCATTTTACGTATTTGGTGTATATATGTGTGTACAGAAATACATCATCATTCCGAATTGTAAATAGCTGTATTTTTTTTATTTTTTATTTTAACATTTTTTTATTATTATTCTTATTACCCCACAATCCCGCAGTAAACAAATACCCCGGAAACAAAATATAACGTCTAGGTGAATTTTTGGAGAAAATGGACATTCAACTGCGTACTCCGATTACTAAATAATCCTTGTGAATTTTTTCTCATCATTATTTAAAGCGAAACCGCATATTACAGGGGTATCAAAATTTACGCAATTTTAGCCTACTAAATTTTTTTCCGGATTGATTGTCGATTTTGCTATAACAGGATCTACATTATGGCATGAGGGCCTGTTGCCGTGCGAAGATTCATAGGAAAATTCTTAGAATTTCGCGCATGCACTTTTCCGTAAAAGAAATTCTATGAACTTTATTTAAAAAGGACAAAGGTGTCGCAGTATCGTCTCCATTACCTTTTCAGTCGGTGCCCGGAACAATGGGTTGTATATATTTCGGAATTCTAGAACGAAGATGTCATTTCTCATGTCATCAATATGTCGTTAATTTCCCTGTGTTGGACAGGTATTATGAATACCGAGTAAAACGGATCCGGAGAAGTTATCCATAAAAACAAAAAGGGGATTTCTATATGTAACTTTACCATGAATGCTAAATGGTCTTATTATTATTTATTTATTTATTTATTATTTTATTATATTTTGTTATCGATTCCTTAACACGAGGATAAAAATATTCCAATCAAACTTTATAATAATCAAGATTCAATAATTAACTTCTTTCAGGTAAAGACCGTAATTGCAGAAATGCGAAAACTCGATTTGTATGCACGTACGCAGTTATCTCGTATGATACGTCTATAGATAGATGCAATACGCATTTTTACGTAATTATTAAACTCGGACTTTGAATTAGATTTCCCGATAACACCCATATATAGTACTTTATTATATTGGTGCTCTCATATTTCAACGAGGGTTTGCTTTCTATGTTCCAGTATCATGGATCGATGGTCACCTAAAACCGTCCGACTGGTTGATATTCATAGCTTCGAAGTTCCAAAACATAAAAAAAAAATTGTTTTTTTTTTCTGTTTCTTTAAGCATAACACATGTAATGCAAGACCAAAGTTGTTTTTTCTCGTCAATAAAATGAATTTCAAATCATTGATACAGTATATAAAAAAGAACAATTTGTTTTAACTACATGGCATATTCTATAAATCTCGAATAATTTTTTTTTCTATTAACTATCCCAGTTAACTTTTTTTTAAAAATATATATATGTGTGTAAAAATAGGTGTAAACTTTTAAATAATAAAACTTTGGTTTTATTGTTGAGATTTAATAATGAGAATGTAAATTGCTCATTATATTTTTATGTAAAATATACTTACCGTGTATTTAAAGTTCATTAAAACTATATTATCTATTATAAGATTTGATTTTATAAGTTATCAAAAACTGACTCTAAAAATTTTTGATTCAAAGGAGGAAGAAAAGACATTGAATAATTCTATAGAAATTGATTTTGTTCAAAGATATGACTACTGATATTGTAATTACAAAATACAAGATTAAATGATTAATAATTCTAATGGTTACAGTAAACTCTAATATAAATAATAAAACAAATAAAACTCTTTTCACTGATCCTCTGCCCATACACAAAAAAGATGTTCACAAGAAATTTTTTATTTCTTTGCTAATAAAGTCTTAATACTATCCTTAAATCAACTTGAAATTTTACTTCAAGAGATATACCCAAACCCCTCTTTTATTTATGTTCATTTTTAAACAAAACTTGACTTCCTGTAATCTAAAAAAATCAAGAAATATCTTTTCTACCTATAACAAGAAAGTTCTGCAAGAAAGAAGAACTAATAATGTAGTACTTGAAGCCTTTCATATTAAAGCATATCTATAGAGATCTTTTGCAATGAGAAGTAATAAATATCAAGTTATATTTTCAAGATATCTATTTACTTCATCTTTTCTTTTATAGTCACTCAAAGTTTTTTAGTTTTTTGAAAAAATTTGCCTATCTCAGTTTGATCCTGAATTTTAGATAACATAATTCATTGTAAAATATAATTAATGAATATAAAATATATTAGTAGCTAAAAGTAAACAAGTTTTTTCAGATCATCTTATATATTTTGATAATGTTATTAGTAATAGAAAGAGTTAATTGATATCCCATTTCTGTTTTACTTCTTCAATTGGACTAACCTATAGATCAAGTTCTATGAGATTAATAAAATATAAGCAATAAGTCCCTAGGTAGTAAAAAAAGTTGCTATTTGTTCAAGCTGAAATCATTTTTTCTTATTATACCAATCAGAAAAGTTTAAAATCCAGATATCTTGCTTATTTCATTTGAGCAATAAAATTAAATAGTTTCTATTAATGTTAAGTTCCAATCTTTTAATTATAATTGAGAATATATTTTTTCAGAAATTGTTAAAGAATATAATAATTTATAAGAATTTCTATCTTTTTTAAAACTCTTTTACTATTAAAAACAAAAATATTGTTGGGAAATATGACTTTTTAGATAATAAAAGATGTTTATTAGTAAAATTTAATTAACTAAACATGGTTACTAGAAGACATTATATTAAAACAATATGGCTTAATTTCTATTGAATTACATAAGAACTTGGGTCTATCATAAATTATCTATTTATTACAAGTGAATAAAAAACCATTGCTTAAAGAAGGTTGAAACCAAGTATATTCTGGAAATAAAGACTTCTGTAAGATTATATATTTCTTTAAACAGTATATGAGAAGAAAATTAAAATTAAGAATAGATAAGTTTCTCAAATGGTTAGAAAAAGAAAAAATATTTTAATTAGATATTTATTATTGAAAAGAAGTCTTAAAAAGCAAATCTTTGGAGGAAATTGAAGAATTTTATTTTTTCATTTTCTTGTAAGTTTATTTGAATATTTTTACATATATATTTTTTTCAATCCATTTCTTTTATAGTTTTCTATACTCCAGTAGTTTAATAGGATATTAAACAATCTCAACTTGCTAACAATAATATGGTAAACTAAAAGAATATTTATCCAAAAACTATTATAAGCAAAATATTATTTTTAAGATTAAACTTAAAAATTATTATTGCTTATGACAAGTTAATTAAATTTGATATTGATATTTAACTATATATATATAATGTTACTTAAGTAAAAATGTACTTATATTTTTAATTAATTAATAAACTATAATCTAATCTAACTGTGAATACATAAAAAAAAAATAACTTTAATATAAATTTTCAATTTTATTTAAATATATATATATTTTTTTAAATACTAGCTCATCCTTACATTGAGATGAGCGAGATTTATTTCTATAAACAAAAGATCTAGGAACAATTGAAATAAATAACTACCTATACTGTCTAAGGATTTACAGATTAATGAATAGTATATAGAGCTACCTATTTACATCTCACCCAAACTAGGATAAGATAGTTACATGATCATCTAGTATAAATATATACTTACAAAAACAAACTACAAAAAAATAGAAAGTATGAAAGTTATACTATGTTAATTTTCTATTCTATACATTGATACTCCCTAGAGCATAACTATTGACTGGTCCACCAAGCAGCTTATTGTTATCCCAAAAAGAAGGGACTAATGTGCTAAGGATTCACCTGGCATACTCAGCACCACCGATGTTAAGGACTACCCATGTGAAACCTTAACTCCACTAGTACTTAACCAAAAATTTTAAAAAGAAAAAAGGGTTATGTTTAAGTTGAGTCTTGTCTGGAGGAACGTAATATTGTCTAGCTGGTCATTATAAGTGATTCTAATGAGTATATAGGAGTATTAAAACCCTCCAAAAAGATACTAGCCCTGAGTGTGATAGTTATATTTGCTAGAGAAGGAATGAGGAAGTCGGGTGTTGTCTATCCAAGGTAATCTAATTCAGCCTTGTTCTTTTTATGTTGCCAATGA